TCTGATCAACTTTGCCTCATGCCTTTTTTTGCTAGCTATTTTAGTTTAGGCGTTGCGGCCATTTTAGTGCTCCAGAATTCGTAAAAAAATTAAATAGCAAACCTGCAGATTATTGTAACTTTAATAAAATGACTGGTAATGTACTCCATTACGTTTTCGGTTTCAGTCCAAGAAATGATACATTACATCACTAATCCGGTGAAATTATGTTCTCGGAGTGAAAGCGTGAAATCGAAATTATGTTTTTTTTGACAATACTGGGAGCTGTTACCTATTTGAAAAGTGACAAAATGTTTTTTTTCTACAATCGGCATAGACAGTAGACTTTGTCGATTAGATTTGTGCTCGCAAAGTAGACGTTTCCTGGTGACCTCCACCCACTTTGCCACTTTAGAGCGTCAAACTACGTCAAAATCCTTCACTTTGTCGCTCTAGAGCGGCAAAGTAGTAGAAGCGCTTGCTTTTACTACTGGTTTCTTTGAACCTGAAGCATTTTTTATCAAATGCGATTGTAGAAAAAATCAGGTGTGCATTTGCCAATATCAACAATATCTTTTGATTGGCAAAATACCACTTTGCGCTCTTAATATACAAATAGCTATTGTGCAACGTCCGCGAAATTCAATTTCGCGAAACGCCACATTTTACCTGCAAAATGTGTCAAATCCTTAGAAACGCTATGCATGCCACAATGTCCACCAGGTCAAATAAAAAAAATTAAATGCCTAAAAGGCCGTACAAGCGAAAGAAATAAATTTACAATAAAATATCATCAAGCAAAGTAATAGAGAATTATATTAGATATAATAATCTGCAGGTTTGCTATTTAATTTTTTTGCGAATTCTAAGGCACTAAAATGGCCACAGCGCCTAAAGTAAAATAGCTAGCAAAAAAAATCACGAGGCAAAGTTAATCAGAATGTAATTATCTACAAGTTTTGTAAAGGGCATTTTGTCGAAAAAAAAAAAAATAAGAAAAAGGCCAATAGGGCCGAACGCACAAGGCTTTCGAGTGTGATTTTTTGGCTCAATACTCAGGACACACTTCCCAATCAGCCTTGGAAAAATCAGCCTGCCCTCACAACATTTTTTGCGGCCAGGTAAAAATTTCTTGGGCTATTATACTTCTTCTAGAAACAAATTACCTATATAATATAATTCCACTAAACTTATAAACCAAACACCAAACTAAAAAAAAATCTCTAATAATACCCATTTTCAATACCTATTCAACATCCTCTTGTTGCCGCAAACTGATACTTTCCTGCACAAAAAAGCAGTAAGACGAACGACGCGAAGCGGAGTTCGGATAAGCTTTAAGTGCGGGAAAGACACTTTGCGCAAATGTTAGGAACAATACTTTTTTTCTCCAAACGTCAGAAAAACGTCACTTTGTTAACTCCTGTTAAGATATCAGAAATTTGATTTCTATGCTGCTAGGCAAATCCAGCGGGTTAACACCTGTCGAGGTGGTAGAAATTTAATTTCTATGTTGCTTGGCAACCCCAGCGGCAGCCAAAGTACTTTTAGTGCCGCTCGTACTTTTACTGCCGCTTAATCATTAACTTGCCCCTGAGCTTACCCTATTCCTTTGGAGAAAAAATAGCGTGTTGCATACGGAGTAGAAGAAACCTACCGCTTCAGAACAAAAAAGTAAAGCTTCTACTCCTAATACAACAATATACTATTCTACGAGTCTCTTCTAAAAGTTGAATTTGATTTGTTAAAATAGTAAAACCTCAGTAAAACAATCAGTCAGATGAATAAAGTGTAGGTAGAGAAAATACTTTTGCTTTACCTCCTCCCTTTTTGCTGCATTAAATCTGAATATGTTTATCCCAAAAAACTTAGGCAATGGCATGTGCCCGTGTCTTTTGCATATGACCAATTACCGCAAGATCTCCAAAAATCGCTTAAAATCCATTGGAATACCTCAGAATCTCTTTTAAATTAAATCCCCAAAAATCTTTCAACATCTTCTGGAATTTCTAGAATATTTTTATGAAATTCTTTCAAGTCCCCAATATTTCAGAAATTCCTAGTAGTACAGTACTTTTAATGGGAAACGTCACATTAACTAAGCACTAAATTCAGCTTATACCCTTCTTTTTGAACATAAGTTTATCTAGAAACCATCAAAACATTGAAAAACCAAGTGTATATACAATAATGCATAACAAAAATGAGTATGCAAAGAGTTTCCGTGCGCAAAGTCAACTTTGCACACTCAAATGAGTGTGCAAAGTGATCACTTTGCGCACGCGAATAGAAAAAGAGGTTTTCAGTTTAGCTAAAAGAGAATGTTGAATACGATCGTGAAACTCTCATCATACTCATACTCATCAGAAAATTAGTTGAAATTCAATTTAGGTTGGATAAAAATTCAAAAAATTGAGGTTAAAAAAACAATAATTTACCATTTTTGCCAAAAACCCAACAATAACCCAATTACCCGACAAAAACAAAAAAAACTCAAGACAAAAACACAAATACCCGCCCAAGGACTCAAAAATTCCGGGCTTTTGCCAACCCTGATTGAGATCATGACAAAAAGCTGTTCAAGGGATTCCACATCAGTGGATAGTAATTTGCATTTTAGTTTATTGTTAACTGCAATAATGACACCACCCTGAGATTTATGAATGCTTGTTTTTGAAGACACACACATCTAAAGATGATATACTTATCCTGTACTGCTAATTCATTGGTATCAATAGTTTCATCCAGAAATGTTTCTGTCAGCAGTATGATATCAGAGTTATTAACAAACATATTACACATGAGAGTCTTAATTTTAGTCTTAATCCCCCTAACATTCTGATAATAAATACTTAGTACCGGTTTCTTGGCTGCTGATGATACTGAAAATTTGACTGCACATTTGATTTTCTTGGGATGTTAAAGTTAAATTCCCTAAATACTGCTCCCAGAGGCCAGAAATTGTTATGAATTATATTGTCAAAATATCTATCTTGAAAGATTTCATTCTGCTATCAGATCTTATTTCTTTAACAGCTATTTCAGACTCACTAGCACTCAGGTTGCTGCATATATACTGCTGAATATCTTTGTTAGAAGTATTCTGCAGCGATTCTACCCAGGTATATGGTATATCCATTTTTGGTTGAGAACGGTACAGTTTTGAGCTGATTTGTGATGTTAGTCCCCACAGATAAATTATGTAAATTCGAGTGTAAATTCTGATTACCTGAGTTTCTTGAGTTTCTACCGAATCTTTGATGACTCTGGATATTAATAGGCCGAGTTTGTGAGTTACCTGACATGTAAAATTGCTCATTCCGATTAGCGGATTGGTCAGCATTTGCATTGTTCGCAAGAAACGAATTGCTGATGGCGTTGCTTACAATTTCTGACGATATACCATAGTTTCTATTTTTAATTATATTTGAATTCTCTAACCTAACATTTGAATTAACCAGCTGACCGGCTGAAGTTGGCTGCGGCTGGTTCGATCTCGATGTGATTCTTTGTCCTTGGCCACCATGAACAGGACATAAATAGTTGAAGACTAGCATACTATGTTCCGTGACCTTGTCCCAGTACGTGAAAAGTTCCCATGTTGGGATAAGGGGAGTTATTCCTAACATCTGACAGCGACATGCTGAGGCCAAAATTCAGGTTGCGTAAGTAGATTTTCGTGAGAAGCATCAATTCCGACCCTAAATGATGTGCCATAATCACCTGTCTTGGTCATCATTAGACTTGTTAGCTTTATTTTTTTGGGATTAACTATTTTTTTAAATTGAACATGATCTATAGCTCGAGATGCCTGGGAAGCAGTTACAGTTTCATTATTATAAGTTAGCAAGTTGGGATTTTTCGTCAGAAATTGGACTAGTTCCTTGTTTGATTGTATATGACTTGACCAATGTTCTCAAATCTTTCTCCAATTGATTGTAATTGTTTGTCCATGCAATTTTCCATTATTGTTTTTTTTTTGTATCCAATTTTCATATTGGAAATCCAAGTAGTGAGAATGAGTGAGTACTCAGTTTTTCAACCTTTTCCGTCGGTTGATTGGCCTCACCCTGTAAGTTCTCAGTTAGTTCCAGTAACTTGGGTGTACCTCTAATCCCTTCAATGCATTCAGGACAAAAAAACAGCAGGGATTTTATTGTCAGTACCATGACCCTTACTTCGGATGTTCTAAGACCAGAACAGTTTTTGCATATTATTATTCGTTGGAAGCCATTACGTACAGGAGGCTCCAAAGAGCTAATTTTTATCATCCTGGTGGCAAATCAGTTTGCATTAAAAACAGTTTACTATTTTGGTAATTGATGTGAATTTATTTCCCTTAGGACTGGTTTATTCGCCTTCTGATAAACTGACAGGTATGCAATCTGACAGATAAAAACGAAATCTGTAATCCACTTGGTTGGCCAGTTAACTGCCGACCAATACAATTATAGAATGGTAAATTTATCTTGCAGATAGTTACAAACAAGTTTATCTGAAGATGAATAAACCGGGCTTTAATAATTTAAAAGATAGAAAACAGGCACCTACCTATAGGCAAATCAGTGACACACACTGATAAAAACACTTGTTATTTATGACCACTATATCCGTGAGAAAAACGTTAAAAGCTGATGATGATCATTGATCTCAGACAAATAACACCTTGACAAACATAATTTACAATTGGGGTGATATAGAAGCTCATATAAAAGGCGGGAGCAGAATAATTAACCCTGGATAGCGAAGGCAATTTTGGTACTGATTTTGATTTCCTCCGTAGGTACTAAATATTATTTTTCCTCAATCACTAGTTAACTGTTCCCTCTGATAAGTTTCAGCTCTGATGTATAGAAATTTGGAGCGAAAACGTCGTTATTAGACACGACTTTAAATCTTACCATAGTTTGTTGAAGCAGCTCAATCCTGGAGTTTTTGAGAAATACTTTTTTTGAAATAATTTATTTGATATATTAAAGTCCTATTGTAATTTTAGTTTTTATATTTTTCTTTTTTTTTAGATTTTCCAATCGAACTTCCCAAATGTTTGTGGACGTCACCTGTACTTCAACGCCATTCCAGAAGCAATCATCTACTAGACAATCTAATAAAGAAGTAAACAATTCCAGTATGAGTCAGAATAATACATTAAGAGCTAAACTCACCCTAAAACGACGTTCAAGCAGAGTCAGTGTCTCCAAAAAGGGTAATTATTTTCTAGATAGCCTAAGCCTACATTACAAGAAAATATTCTTCACTACTGTAATCTATATTTATTTCGTAAAATAACTGTATGGATGAAATATTTTTCTTTCAGCGGAACATGATTGCCCATCATGTAAATCCATCACAAACCAGAACCAAAGCTTGGACACATCCAAAAATGTAGCAAATAGAAAATCACGTAGCCGCTCCAATAGTGTAACGGAGCCAAAAACAACTCCTGATACGTTGAAGAAGCTAACCCCCCTGGAAATGTCCAAAAATGTATCTGCAAAAAATAAAAGGTCACTTAGTCAGTTCAGCGCGTCTCTTTTCAGAACCCCCACTTCACAAAGGTGAGTATTTTACTGCACAATTTTTATCAGTCAATAATAATAATTTCATTTGATTACCTGTAGCTTCTCCTACCGAAGTGAAAATTTATTTCCTTGCTTTGTTTGTTTCTAACAATTACTTATTTGAATCTTCATTCAATCATTGAAACATGTCTTAAATCCTGTTATTTATTTCAGAAAATCTCGTATTGACGAAAAGCTTGCTATGGCAGACGACGAAACACCAAAGTCTCACCTGACAACTTCAAGACGGCTGTCCAAATCTACATATAATCCAGAGGTAGAAGATATTACACCTGTCACACCAGAAAGACTTTGTGTAAGTACTTGAATAATCTCCATCGTCAATTACCAATATTGAAATTGCCTTGTTTAGGTTTCTGGATTCAGTGACGAGTCCAAAATACCAAATAAGACACCTGTATTGGTTGACAAAGTGAATGTGGAGAGCCAAAATACTGAAACTATCACAGAAGATGTTGAAACAGCTGAATCAGATTTGACTTCAAAGAAACCTCAGGTGAGTTACAAATATTATTCATCCGATTTTTTTTTATAACTAGATTGAAATTTCCAGCAGGTAATGCGTCGACAAAGGTCCCCTCTCAATCGTCTCAGCAACTTTGAAGGGATAAAGAAGCTGATGAAAACACCTCCTAATTCGCCAAAGAACGATTTGAGAAATATCCCGAATTTGCGTAGAATTATGTCCCCGAAACAAGAAAAAAGTCCCATCAATGATCTGACAAATCCAGTGGGTGTGAAAAATCTCTTCAAAACTCCAAAGCAACAGAAAAATCCAACTGGTGACTTGTCAGATGCTGAATCAGATGTCAGTGGTCTTGCTGAAGTCAATGTATCCAATGTAGAAGTTTTGAGTCGGGGTAGTGATATTGAAAACTCTGAAGATTTGTTCACACAATTAACAGGACAACAACCTAGAAAATCTTATAATAGGAAATGTAACAGTTTGTCTATAAGTAAGGCAGAAATGGATTTAAATTCTAGAAAAACTATGGGTGATTTGCCAAATAGTTCTCCAAGGGTCCAAAAATGGGTGGAAGAAACAAGTGCAGTTGAAATGGAATCTCTTCAAGATGATGATGATGTTTTTGCTGATGAACCAACACCAAAATCCAGATCGGAAAGAAGCTTATCAGCCACAAAAGAAACAAGTAAAAGCCAGAATAATGATGTTGATTATTCAGATGTTGGGGAAAATGAGCAAATGTCAGAAAGTGATGAATTCACAGATGAAGCAAATGTCAAGCCAATCATGGATAATGCTTCTCCCAAGTCGGAGGTATCAAAGTCCTCATATGATGCGGTATTTGACGATTCTACCGATGAAGAGGTTAGCTTGCAAAAAAATTCTTCAAATCTTGAAAAGAGTGATGTTAAGGACCCGAGCCTTCAAAAATCGGATGAATCAAGCCTGGAATATTCTGACAATGAGTTAGAAGCTCAAAATTCTGATGATCAGTTGAGTGCGAAACTAGAGCACTCTATCGATGAAGGTAACATTTCTGGCTCAGTTCCTGAAAAAAGAGATACTATGTCTGAACGGCCTTTCAGAAAGCTTAAAGGCAGCCGTAGCTTATCACCAAGTAAAGTAACCCCACAACAGTATAAAAGTCGAAAATCTGTATTCAATTTTTCTATAACCACTGCAGTTCCAGATGTAGATGCTTGGAAGCAAGAACGCAATGAGCAAATTAATATTGAAAAACCTGAAACTCCTTTGAATGAAATAGAAACAGAGACGAACTTAGTTACTGACAATGATTCAGAATCAGAAAAATTGTTGAATAACATGCCTGAACAGCCTGTCAGAAAGTCTAAAAAAGGTCGCAGCTTCTCACCTACAAAATCGTCCCCACAACATATTAGAGGCAGGAAATCTGAATTCAATTTTTCTGTCAGCACTGCTATTCCAGATGTAGAAATTTGGAAACGAGAACGAATAGAACAGAAAGGTACAAAGAGAAAGAGCAGCCCAATTACCCAGGAAGTTTTACCAGAGAAAAAACGCTGCAAAGTCACTTTTGACATTCCCGATGAAGAATCTCTCCCAGAGAAAAAGGGCACTCGCAGTGGTAGAGTTATTAAAAAATCTTCAAAGGTAGTGGATGTGAAAAAACAACCAAGAAGGAAGGGAAAAGCTGCTCAAGCAGCAAAAGAAGTATCTGAGGAGGTTGACAATGAAAATAACAAAGCTGTGGATAATCAAGAGGAGGGAGAAAGTGCCAGAGCCCAAACGGAAACAAAAACTAATACCAGAAATAGGAAAAAAAGTACTATGGATATTGATGAAAACCCAGCTGAAGTAAGTCCCTTAAAAAAACGGGGACGTAATGAAAAAGCAGTTGAAGCAAGCAAACCTACTAAAGGTGAAGTGGAAAATGAACTAGAAGCAGTGGTTGATGTTCCGCCACCTAAAAGAAGGCGACAAAATACTAAAGAGGCGACTGTTGCCTCTCTTGAATCCGAAGAAAATGAAATTAAAATAAGTCCACTGAAGCCAAGAACAAGAAGAGGAAAAGCAATAACTGACGCTGACAGTGCTTCAATCTCTTCGCCAAAACAGAAAGGACGTAAAGTCAAAAATGCAACAGAACCAATAGCTGCTGAAACTGATACTGCATCAGCTTCTACGTCAACTACAAGAGAACGTAGAGCGAAAACTTTGCGAGATGCGACAGCTGTTACTGACAGTCCATCAACTTCTTCGCCAAAGCCAAGGGGACGCAACGTCGAAGTAATAGAATCAAATAACACTGAAAATCCATCTGCAACCAGTAAAAATGCAAAAGAACCACCAAAAAAGAGAGGTCGTAAAGCAGAAGCCGTCGATGAACAAGAAACCATAAGTGTGTCTCCACCTAAAACCAGGAAGCGCAACGCTAAGGTTCCAGTTGAGACACCGCAACCAGAAGAAAATGAAAACAAACAAACTACAACCAAACCAAGAAGCCGTGCAGCTAGAAAGGTTGCGGAAGAAACAGCTGATATTGACACACCAAAAACAAACCTAGAAGAAAACAACAATAAAAAAGCTCGGCCAAAACCAAGGGGGCGTAGGGCCAAAGATGTAGCAGAAGAGATAGCTAACATTGAAACTTCTACGAGCTCCCCTTCAAAACCAAGAGGTCGTAGGGCCAAAAATGTTGCAGAGGAAGCAGCTGTCGTTAACAGTTCTACAAGCTCCACTCCAAAACCAAATCAAGAAGAGATTGATGATAAAAGAGCTCCACAAAAACCCAGAGGGCGTAGGGCCAAAGATGTAGCAGAAGAGACAGCTGACGTTGAAACTTCTACGAGCTCTCCTTCAAAATCAAGAGGGCGTAGGGTCAAAAATGTAACAGAGGAAGCAGCTGTCGTTGAAAGTTCTACAAGCTCCACCCCAAAACCAAATCAAGAAGAGATTGATAATAAAAGAGCTCCACAAAAACCCAGAGGGCGTAGGGCCAAAGATGTCGCAGAAGAAGCTGCTGACCTTCGATCTTCTACAAGCTCTCCTTCAAAATCAAGAGGTCGTAGGGCTAAAAATGTAGCAGAAGAAGCAACTGTCGTTGACAGTTCTACAAGCTCCACTCCAAAACCAACCCAAGAAGAGATTGACAATAAACAAGCTGTGCCAAAGACAAGAGGCGGGCGCAGAGCCAAAAATATAGCTGAGGAAACAGCTGACATCGAAATTCCTACCCCAAAATCAAACCAAGAAGAAATGGACAATAAACAAACTCTGGCAAAACCAAGGGGGCGTAGAGCCAAAAATATAGCAGAAGAAACAGCTGAGGTTGACAATTCTAAAAGCTCCACTCCGAAACAAAATGAAATGAATGATAAACAAGCGCTACCAAAACCAAGAGCGCGTAGAGCAAAAAATGTAGTAGAAGAATCAACTGAAGTTGAAACTTCTACAACCTCCACTTTGAAAACAAACCAAGAAGAAGTAGATAATAAACCAAGAGGGCGTAGAGCCAAAAATGTAGTTAAAGCAACAGCTGATGTTGAAACTTCTACAAGCTTCACTCCAAAACCAAATCAAGAAGAAACTAAGCCGAAACTCAGAGGACGTAAAGCCAAAAATGTAGTAGAAGAAATAGCCGATTTCGAAAAGGCTACAACCTCCACTCCAAACCTGGATCAAGAAGAGATGGACACTAAAAAAGCAAAACCAAAAGGGCGTAGAGCAAAAAATGTAGCACATGAAACACCTGACGCTGAAAGTTCCACTCCGAAAAAAAGAGGCGGGAAAGCAAAGAATGTAACAGGATCAATTGATGACATTGAACCGCCATCGACTAAAGGTAGATCTACAAGGGCTGCTACTAAAGCCCAAGAGGATAAAACTGAAGTAATTCCAGCAGCACCACCAAAAAAGAGAACCCGTCGATAAAGAGAAAAATTTTGGAACTTATTAAGTTTTATACATTTTCATATTTTTTAGCTTTTAGAATATTTATTGTAAATATGTTGGAGTTTATAATTTTTTTTTTCTAATTTTAATTTGTTCAATACAATGCTGAGCAAGTTGAGAAATTGATCTTTTTTTGTTAGATTTAGGTTTGTCAGAATATTTGTGTGTTTCTTTTTTTCATTAGGTTCTTAAAGAAAATATAACTAGAAATGGTTTATTAATCCTAAAAATGTCAATTATATTAATAATGCTGGACATTTTATCAAATGGTTATTGCCAACTTGACCCTTTACACTACTTACTTCTTATAATAATGTACTCTTAATTTGATTTAAAAATAATAAATATGAAATGTTTTTTGAAAACATAACATTATCATTCAATACTTATAATTTAATTTAGTTTGGTATGTTTGATTTTGGAATTATGAAAATAAAATGTTTTGTTAGAAAGATAACGTTGCCGTGTATATATTGATTTGAAATAGTCTTTTCCTTATTTGTTTGTAATTCTGATGAGTGTAGGTGTATTTTTAGCACATTGAGGAGTGTGAAAAGTGCCATTTTTCCAGAAGCAAATAAGCGTTAAAATTCTAATAAATTTGACGAGTATAATTACCAAGCTTTTAACCAACACGAACACAATGGATTTCGAAAATCTGTGCGTGCTGGGCATCATATCAAAATCATTTGTGCCTTTATATTTAGGTTTTGCTACAATTAGAAATTTATGTAGAGAAATATATTAATTATTGCCTATAGTAGTAGAACATGTAATTTTTTAATAAAGTTATTATCCAGAATCCGATCTTGAATTTGTTTTTTTATTCTCTTGAATGACTTATTTTTAAGTAGTGAGACACAAAGTGTATCGCGCCACTGTTTAGTCACTAAGATAGAACATTAATATTTTAACGAACATGCACGCATTCTGCGAGAAAATAAACGGTGCGGTCTGCGGATAGATAATAGAACCATTCCTATTTCAAAGCGACGAGACTGCGACAAAATTATCGCACGACAACAAATCGCTTGTGCGCGCTTACCCTTATTGTCAGAAATTTGTGCAAACTTATTGACAAAGCAATTTAATCCTAACATACTATGGCCACTTGAACTAAAAAATAAAAGTAATCGAGAAGTAATTTTAGTAGCCATTACTGGAAGAACATTTAACATATTGTTCGTCGATTTTTAACTGACACTTTCCGTATGAGGAGCGTCTTTCATATGGCAAAAACAGGTGTTACGTCAGGCGTTCTAAAAAAAATAGGAAGCCACCAGCTCACATTCCGTCCGAGTATCAGATTAAAATGGACGGACAATACACACTTCAACATTTGACGCAGTAAAGGAAACTTTCTTTGTATAACTTAAATAATTCTGGTTACAATAATATTTGAATTGAGACGACCGCATTTTTCCCACCCCGATCGAATTATGCGTCGACACCTTAGTTGAAAAAAACGTAACACTACCCCCATCGAGTTATGCCTTAAGTAGAGTATCAGATTGAAGGTCTCGATGTCCTCTATCTAAAAAGTCGATCCTGCCTTGTGGGAACTTGCCGGAAAAAGGTGGCAAGGCAACTTATTGGAGCAAGGGCTCGCGGTCTCAGCTTTGACACCTATCAGGTTTTGCCCTGAATGATGTGTCAAATTAGAGGTGTCAATAAGTTGATAGGTCTCTTCGCAGAAAAATCCTTAAATTTTTGACGAAAGTACAAGTCGTGTTTCAGATCGCTGCGTGGATTTTTTTTTAAAAAAAAGTAGTTTTCTTGGAATTTTAAAAGTCGAGAAAGGCATTAAGTGTTGGGAAAGTTAAATAGTGATCGGACTGACTGCAGGATTTTTTTTGGACATAAAACGGTGAGTGGAGAGAGATTTCAATGGGATAACGGTATAACTTTTGACTTTTAAAAAATTTTTGGAATATCAAACACATAGAGAAATATAATAGTAGTAAACTACGAGAGAAGTCATTGTGCATCCAGAGGTTACCCGTAAGTTGTAAAACACAGGGCTCACAATAAATTAGTACAAGACCAAGTGAACGAATTTACATTTAGTTCTATAAAGTCCTTTTTCAAACTAATTTTAAAGTTTTTGAGTTACCTACGTCGGAAATCAATGTCTATAGAGTACCTAGTTGCCTATTTAAAATTTACTCCATAAAAAAATATTACTTGACAAAATTATATTTTAAAGTAACTTTTAAAAATGGTACACCAGCACCTGAATTAATATAGGGCGTGTCAAAGTTTTTGAACAAGATTTATACCGAAATTCCAGTGCTTCCCAAACAAAACAAAATTTTGTGTTAAGTTAGATAATAATTATGTTTTACTTGTAAACAATATGTAATAATAATAATAATAAAAGTATAATAATCTATACTCAGCATTAGATGAATATATTGCATTTTAAATAAATACTTACGAAATGTAAATACTTATCTGTAAAAATTATATTTCTTCACAAAATTTCTTGACCACAAAACATTTTGAGAATTTCAGGTAGAACCCGTCCTCTCTTTATATTTCGCATGATTTATAGCCATGCCGTGTTTTACGACTTCGGGGTAAACTCTCGGTGCATATAGACTACTTCTGTACTTAACAAACTGGCACAATGTTGACGTTAGCGCCCCTGGTGGCTACGGATAGCAGTCAGTAACTAAAAGAGTGAATATTGTTTGAATGCAGGTTTCTTCTTTACCGACAGTGGAAAGGCGGCTTTTTTAAATAATTGATTATTAACTTTTATTTTTAATCATTACTATCATACTTTCCGTAAACAGCTTTTACTTTTACAATAGCTTCGTTCGCGGTAAAGGCCGTTTTACAGCTTGCAAGAAAACTTAAATGCCATATTTTGCATGCAAAAAAATTGCATTCAAGATTTCTTGCACGTCGTTTTACACCTTGCAATTTGACTTGTTTCTTTTTCTAACCTTAACCATACTTTTTTTAAAATCTTGTGTTGTTGACCCAAATAGCATTTGGACGTCGGCCCCACCTCGGATTAACCATTTGCCGACCCTTTTTTGCACTAATTTGAAACATTCAAATTTGAGTCGTGCCGACGTTGGTAACCAACTTTCGAAGTGCTGCATCATTCACCAAATACAACGTTAATTTACGTTTAGTTATGTTAACGAAAAAATCTGAGATTTTGGTTCAATTTTAGTGATTTTATTTCCACCCCGGGCCGGGAGCACCTCTACTTCCAAACCCTGATGCGACTTCCTTCGGAATCATGTGAGATAAACGACAATAGAGAACTGGGTATTGTATAAAACAATAATGGCGTACGAATTTTTGTAGTGAAGGTAATTAATTAGAACTTTCTGGGCCCTTGTTGAGACCAAATATTGCTAACGCACGACACTTTACTGATACACATGACCATGGTAGATCGAAAAATATGCATGCCCCACGTATATCGTCGGAATTTATCAAATTTAATTTAAAAAAATAATAATAATAAAAAAGAAAAAAAGTATATAGTCTAAGAAATTTGATTTAAAATCGTACATAAAACGTTAGAGAAGCAATATTTTCTTGAAAATCTCCTGTTTACTGTCAATTTCATACATTAATTGAAAAATTAAAATAAAATTTTCATAATGGCTGACAAGATGCTTCATCGACGTAGCCTTAAAATATGGCGGAGTTGGTAGTTGAACTAATATTTTCTTAATTTAACCAAAGGAAAAGGAATCACCACCTAAAGTTACGAAGCACAACCTTGAAGTCGGAGATACCACCAAATTGGACCATACTGAGACGTTAGGATCCGACCTCAGTTTTGGTTCCTTGAAAATTACTAAAGACGACGACAACATAACCTAATGTGTTTATTTATTTTGATATGAATTTACTGTTGAAAACAGATGAAATTATTTTATTCTATTTTATTTTTGGTGCTGTGCTGTGTGTGTTAATTTTTGGATGGATCATTATGCATTGTGGCAAAGGTAGTCCTACTCCGAGTAGGATTATCTTTGATTGTGAGCATAGGCGCCGGAACGATGGGGGCAATGGGGGCTTGAGCCCCCATAGTGATTTTGGTGGTGGGTGTAGATAGGGTTTCCATACGTCCGGATTTACCCGGACATGTTTGGGTTTTTAGGGTGTCCGGGGAAGTCCGGCCGGAATTCGGAACAATGTCCGGAAAACTCAGAGATCGTGGAAACACTCATACTCAGTTTACGCACTACCTAAAAGACGTAAATTTTACTTCACGCATTAGTACGTGAAGTAAGTCACTTTACACACTAGGGTCACTAGGAAATTTTCCGCGAGGATGGATAACCAAGCATACTCGAGTATGCTAGATTATGTGATATGTCAATTGTGTCATACTCCCCTAACTCACCCATCATCAAATTCTGGGATACTCGAGGATCAAGAACACTTAGGGCCGACCGAATTTATAGTCGTTTCTTGGGTCTTCCTTGAAGGTCGTGAGTTTAGAATGGACACTTGCTACTATTTGACAAGTTAGTCATCTCAATTCTAAACGTTCAAAGCCTTCTTAAGGCCTGAGGAAACCTCAAGCAGCGACTATAAATCCGGCCCTTAACTTCTTCTGTGAGAACAGACTAAAAACTTTCTACATTTGAAATCGACGAAAAAATTAACTCACTAGCACAACCTGAATCGCGAGCATTCCATCGTGGTCTGCGGGTGACGTCATCACTATAAACTGCTGGTAGTGACGCCACTTGCAGACCCAGAATTGAAGGGAGAGGAAGTTAGGGGAGTATGACACAGTTGACACATCACATAACCCAGGATAATCAGATTATGCTTGATTATCCTCCAATGTTATCCTCGCGAAAAATTGCCTACTAACTATAGTGCGTGAAGTAAGGTCAATGACAGATGTCGACACTGTAATTTTTTTCTAATAAATTACTTTACGCATTAGTGCGTATGCGTAAAGTATTTGTCTAAAGTTATTTTTTTACACATATTTCATTGGTAGTAGAAAATTGTTTGTATATTATGCAATACGTGTGTGAAGTGAACCTTTTTTTACAAATGTGAATTTTGTCACACTCGCCTTTCACTTTACACACTCTCAATAACTATTTCGGCGAAGTCCGGATTTTGTCCGGATTTCTTGACTCCTTTGTCCTGAATTCCGGAAAACCTTTATGGAAACCCTAGGTGTAGTGGATAGGTACAAAAATATCGAGTTCCTAACTATTTATTTTTATATCAAACTTGTGTGCTTTATGTTTTTGTTATGCCGTTATGCCTACTTTAACAAACAGTCTGAATATTTTGTGTGTAGAATTTAACCTGTATCTTCAATAAGTCATTGGATTATTATTTCCTTTCCGTTTTTTTTTTTTTCATGATAGGTATGTTTACATCACATCACTGGCTTTTTTTACCTAGTTTATCATGGAAAATTTATATAACCATCGGACCAACCTACTATACACATAGGGGGTAATTTATTACATAATTAAGACGAATTAGCTTGTACCTGGTTTAGGTGCTAAACCACTGACGTTGGCAGGGACTAGGGAGGGAAACAAAGGGGCATTTTCCCACCTTCCCCTAAAGACCTTCAAATTTTATTAACCATTCAAAATTGGAATAAACAAAAAAAAATCAATTCAAGTCCTAGGTGAATAATCAAATACATACCTACATACAGGGTGTCCCAGGGAAAACAGTCCACCCCGATTTATTGGGTTTGGGGTGAGAATCTGGGAAAACGCTCGGACACGTCGATGTTTCCCAGGTATTTATTATTCACAACCAACTGGTATGACATAAAAGCTTGTATGCACCAC